AGATATTTCAAAACGTCTATTCTGCCAGCTTCCTGCTGGGCAACTCCGTCCATCTCCCACCCAAAATCCACCCACGCTTCATTTACAAAATTCTGCAGAAAGCTAAAAAAGGATGAAAACAAAAAAAAAACCAAGGGAGCCCAAGGAATTAAGCAGCTGGTTTGCAACCACGCCACCACTCACGCAGCCCGGGGCGGTGCTGAGCGGGGCTGGCCGTGGCCACGCTCGAGCGGGGCAGCCAGGGCAGGAGGTGTGCGGCTGCCGTCCCTCCGCCGCTCCCTGTGCCTCGGCTGAAAAACTTACGGGCTTTCAGCTGGGAGGAGCTGTCTGGGGTCCCTGCTCCCTCGTGGTCGGGCCCTCACCAAACCCGGGGCAGGCAGCGGCGCAGGTAATGTCCGCGAGGGAATTAGAGAGCAGGGAGAAGCTACGACACGTAATCCGCAAGTACAAGGTAACATTCAGTCCCAGGCTTCGGTATACAAATTATCTTCCCAACCTGAAGGAGAAATGGCTGGTGCTGTCTAGAGAGCCCAAGAAAGGGACCTCTTGTTCCAAAGAGGTATGTTTCTCTGCACATTCATGCCCTAAAGTTAGAATATACTTTGATCCATTCTTCATTTACTTCCCCTGCTTAACACAGGGTCTGTGCATTGCTCCACGCTCACCAGAGCTTCTGCAGGGGCTGTTGCTGCTACAGCCAGGATTTGCTGATCAGCCTCCAGTGCACGTCCCGTGTTGCAGACCCCAGTCCTTTCCTTCACCTGTGCTAACTAGAGCCGGTATTTCAACCGAGCTGTGCTTCATGAAGATTAAATAAAGGAGGAGGCCGAGGGATGGAAAACAGGGGACTGAAGACAGCAGAATAACTCAAGATTCACAGTCGAGCGTTTCCCTCCCAGGTGTCCTGGGAAGGTCCCACAGCCCTCGCTGGGGGTGCGCACAGGGCGTTTCTGTACCGGCTCAGTGCTGCCAGGGTGCCCGAGGGGTACTGCTGGCCCCTGGCACATCTGGCCCACGCAGGGTACAGACAGACAGACAGATGCGCTCATGGGGAGAAGGTATCTAAATCTGGAGGCAGATCTGCACATCTCGGCCAATGTAAACACACCCCAGCACATGCTATAAAATGTAAATACTATTTGGCAAAGGATTACTGGGTTTTACTCTCTAGCAGGTAATAAAAGTTTAATCCAGTGCAATGTTTGCAGGCAGGACTGGAACAGGTAAGTGAGATGCCTTAAGCTCTTTACTGGAGACATCCACAACAGTCACAGTAACGGAGAGAAAAATCCTCATCAGAAAATGATTTCTTGCCCATCACCGAATGCTGCTGTGAGACACCTTCGCTCGGGAGCCAGCAGCCGACGCTCAGGCTTGGGCGTCCCTTGTCATTATCAGAAAATACCAATTATCCAGTGCCAAGACAGGAACATTTGCTCTCATTGAGCACTGACTGCGCCGACACAGGACCCAGCACCTTCTACTCAAGTCGTTGACCTCTAAAGTTGGAAGTTGGGAGTTGGAATGCCCTGGTGCTCTCAAACAGTACGTGTGGGTACCTGGACGGGAAACACCGCAAGGACGTGACTAACCCCTCCGGCCACAGTGCCCGACACCACCATTACCTCAAAACACACAGCGATACTTGGAGGCTTTCCTCCAAGGCGAGGTTGAGCATCGGAAGAATTTTTCTGAACACTGGGGGTTTGGGAAGGGGTCGTGCCACGTTTGCTGGGATGGTGTTACCGGGAGAAATGCATCCCCGGGGGGTCACTGGGCTGAGCGGGGAGGCTGGGCAGGGAGAGGAGGTCTGTCTGATTCAAAGAGGAAAAAGAATGAAAACGCTTTTGTGTTTACAACAACAATGAGCAAAACCGCATACATTCATATCTGTGCAACTAAAAAAGAAAAAAAAAATCTGTTGCATCACTTGGTACTCCAGCTATCCCCTCCTTGCCCCTGTTTTTTGCATGCCTGGCTGTTACCAGGGACCTCCGCAGACCTCCTTACTGCCACACCTCACACGCTGCGCACGGAGACGTGCGGGAAACTGCCGAGACAGAAACAGGGACGCCCACGGGAATCGAGAGGCTGGGGCTGACACCACGGCTGCTGCAAGTCAGCACGGACTGAAGCCCTGGCCCTTCAGGAGCCGGGGCAGTAACGGCTGCATCAACTTACACCAGGGAGGTTGTCCCCTTTGTAATGGAAGAAAATTCAAGCATTGTACAGCAAAGCTAAGAAAAGATGGGAACCGGCTTCTTTCAGAGCCAGCCTCTGATCAAACACATGCAATTTAGCCTCTAATGTCCCCCACAGCTTCCCTACCGTCACGGGATGTCAGAGTCACGCTATTAAAACCTCATCCCAGGGCCACACTGTGAGACAACAGGTCCCCGCGCAGGGCAGCCGGTGTGGGAACGTGCCGGGAGCTCGTGCCTGGGGATGGCAAATCCAGCCCCTGCAAATGCATCACACACGCCAGTGTAGCCTCTGAGCAGAGCTGCTTTCTGCCTTGCCTCTCTCAGGTGCCTGCACGCTGCTGAGAGCATCAAGTGCGTCAGGAAAACAACTGGGTGCTCATGGAGCTATACTGGAGCCTGAGCGACCTCCTCTGCTACATGCCCCCCGCGTTGCACTGCCTTGTTTCCCTCCCAGCATCTGCAGGACAGAACTTCGCGCTTCAGGAAAATTAAACCTGATAAACCTCTGTTGGATGCTCTTCTTGGCTAAAGCAATCATGACCTTCCAGTAACATTCTCCTTCAAGTGTCAGTCCTGAAAATCCCCACGCCTGCTCCGCATGGCACGCCTTAAAAGACTGAATCACTGCTCGGTGCCATTTGCAACCCCACAAGCAGGGTCTGACACCACCAAGCTTTTTGTTAGAGACGAAGGTTGATTCGTCTCTGACCAACAGCATTCCCTACCTGTGCCCCTGGGAATGGTAACACTGAGCTTGGAGTTAAAAATACATTTGGAAGCAGCAGCATGACGTTTGTATGATGAATGCTCTTTCTAAATGGCATCACCATTAAGTAAGTCCTAATACTAATGTCACCCGCTGCAGGTGCCACAATCTCTGCGCTCCAGTCAAACCCAAATACTTCCATTAAGGCCTCCCTGTGCAAGAGAGATTATTGCATGCCACTTAAAGCAAAGCACAGTATTTCAGAAACTCTATCAACTGCAAACCAAGCTGACTTCCATGTCTGACAAGAAAGAGAAAGCTGCGCAAACCTGGGCAAGGATGCGTTTAGGGGGCAGACTGAAAATCAGCAACCTGAAGGAGCCGAAAGGTCAGCTGCAAGGCAGCACCCCCACTGCATTTGGTGAAGCGTAACTGAAACATCAAACTAGGGGATGTTTGGGGTAAAAACCTTTTCCCACCTG